AACGGAGATGGCGCTCCAATGATCGCCCCCTACCGACAGACTCATGTCCACGTGCAGGCCGGTGCAGGACCACCTTGTGCCACACAGGGGCAGCTGCCACTTAGGGGGGGGGGGTCCTTCGATTGTTTGAGATGAGATTCGATACGAAACACTGAGTTGCTGAGGCAATTAGACAAGCGACTTATGAGTGCAAATATGATATTGGTAACGTAGTGAATGCTTGGGAGCTTCATTGTCTCTCGCTCCTGCTGACAGATGTACCCAGCCCACAGCTCCACAGACACCAGCCGCTCCTCCTGTGCAGGTTCAGCTACGTACAGTGCGAAAGAAGTTCCAGATACACACAGAGACTCACAGAGACCCACAGATAGCATGGTTGGCTACGTATGGTGCGAAATAAGTTCAACGTACACACAGAGACTCGGAGCAAGTTTGAGTCGCGTGCAGTCGTGGGCCATGAAAGTTGAATTGGCGCATGTTGCTACTGACAGTAGTTGAATACGGTTGGAAAGACGCTGATAGAGATATACACAGAGACTGACAAGAGAGAGGTGGACAGACACAGACAAGAGGAAGACAGAAAAAAAGATACAGAGATGACAGAGACAGTCAGTGAGAGAGAGAGACACAGAGGGGGACAGAGACACAGATGGACAGAGAGATGTTGAATCGAACAAACTTAACTTGCTCCACTGAAAGAGATTCTTCAATCTTTGCCCATCCCCGGAAGTCGTTCCAGTTTCTATTTATTTCATTGTATGTGGTGTCTACGTGTAAGCAATGTGGGATATCAATGTAGATAGATATGAACAAGATCAGCAGACAAGACGTCTTTCATACTCTTTGGTTCTTTGAGTGAAGTCACGCAGGTAGAAAAAATCAAATAAATCACGACGCTTCTATCGCAACACGAGCGGTCGTCCTCAGGCGAAAACATCCAGACATTGTCGCGGCAGAAGTCACGTGAGCTACGGCACGTGGCAAAGATAAGGTGACCCCCCACCCCCGTGGCTCGCCCTGCTCAGCTGAGCATTGTTTTAATGTGGTGGGCTCACGCGAGATTGATTTCTGGAAGACGAAGGTACTTTCAAAACCCACTGGCTAAACTCTTTTATATAAGTGTTGTGTCCTTAACTAACCACACGTAGACGTCTGGTTGAGGCAACGCGTTTATTATAACTCTTTCGAACTCGGCTCTTCACACTACTGTAACACGAAGGAGTACGGCCCCTTCCACTTGATAGCCTACGCGATTGACAGCCTCCCTTCTATCGCAGCCTGCACACTCCGGGCTCTGCTACACACGGGTCCCCTAGCCCGGCGTTAAGGGAAGACTGGACGACCCGTCCCAGCCAGGGTATGGGAGCTCACCTCTGGTCCGCTACAACCCGGCTCTAACAAGAGCCTCGGTTGAGGGTCCCTGGGTGCTGGTCCAGTCTTCAGGTCTTCGGATGTCTTCAGGCTTGAGTTGGTGAACACTGCCCGGCCGGTCCAGGGGGCCGGGCTTTTAACCCCAGGTCGGGGTCACCCCTCCCCTCCTGAACCACCAACCCCCCCTCCCAGAACCTTCTGGAAGGTCTTATCTTAAGGGGCCTTAGAGACGGGTGGGGGGGTCAGGGATGTTATTCTCGGGTCACGGGGGTGGGGGCGGGGGTTTACTTTGGTCGACTCGTACACACCTCACTCTCTCTCGGCTGCCCCCTGTTGACCCGTGAACGTGGTGGCAGGTCAGCTGACAGCGCCTTGTTATGGCGCTTACGCACAACTTCGTGACTAACGCTGCACGTTCCGTCGTTTTCATGCAGGGGGCGCTGCAAACCTACGCGTCCCCTGCATGAACGATGGAGGCGCAGGGACAGACGTTCGATCGCATTGGAATCAATTTGCGGACGGCGGTCTTCTCGCACGGCCAGCTCTGCGTCGCCTCATCTGGATCCCGCGATCCCAACCAGGTGAAAGTTCGCATCGAACCAAACCACCGGCAAAGCCATCTACTTAATGACGCGAGAAAATTCACGCGAAATATCGTTTTCAATTAATAAGCTTTTAATGAAGAAATACAATTAACTAATTCAAAATAATACAATTCAAAGTTGTTTCATTTTAAAACTTCAAAACGGAGCATCGGGAGCTTGCGTGGAGGCGTCGTTCGTGTGCAATTTTTTCGTGACTTTCCTGGCCCCAGGCCGTAAATGGTTGTGAGGGGCACCGCAGGCGATCTGGCTTGCTTCAACCCTTGGTTGTGAACATCCAGACGTTAATCAGCAAGGACCATTTCTTGTCCTAATTCGAGAAAATCTACATCAACACGTAATACAAAATTATAATTCGTGTTGTAGAGAATGTATCTCCTCTACGTGTAACTTTTGAGTGGTATGCCTTGTAACTGATGAATGATCCGAGTGTGCTCCCTATTTCAAAGACAATGAGTTGCTCCAGAGGGAGAAGCTTCCTGAAACATAAAAATACCCTTTGACCTGTATCACAAGAACAATGAGTCTCACCTGAGTTATCTGTACAGGTTACTTCCAAAACACACACTTTGTCCTAACATCACTTATTCAATGTTTGACCCTTTTACACAAAATGTTACATGTATGCACACAATCATACAAGTATTAATTCTAAATTATTGACAGGCATATGAACAAAATTGAATTACAGGTGCACCCCAAGCCTGTTCCCACCCCCCCCCCCCCCCCCCCCCCCGCTTGTGTATATGCAAGATGTGCTGTTTTGAGCTGCCACTCTCCTTTTGCTCCCCCCCCCCCAACCTTATTTCCTATTTAAGCTTCTGTTCACCTCTCTCTCTCTTTGCCTCTCCGTCTTTCCTACTGACCATGTACCTCGTATTTTCACTCTGTCTATGCTGGTTTGTGCAATCCAGAAGTTGAACACGAAATTTAACACTCTTCTGAAATTCGTGGTCCGCCAGGAAGTGTCTGTGTTGTTGGCCTGACTGGTTGTGCTTCACATGTTTTTTAGGTCTGTTAAATTCTCGTCTCTCATCTTTTTTACATCCATGATTTGTTCTTGCCATGATTTGTCCTTGACACCTGGTGAAGATCGCTTGTGTTGTGATCTAAACGTCGTGATATGTTTTGTATTTAATATAATTTTATTGTATTTCTACATACGTGACTTTACCGAAAAAACCAATGAGTAAGGTTACATCGCATTAACAAGAAGCTATTTTAAAAAAATATGCACCGTCTGCTTAACAGTGTATGTACAACGTGCTATTGCGCCAAAACGAGTTGGCCATTGCATGCTGGCGTCTGCGTCAAAATGTATCAAATTCTAAACATTACCTACAAACTACACAACCAAGATCCCACATCAACCATCACCCCCTACTGACAGGCTCTTGTACACATGCAGGCCGGTGCAGGGCCACCACCTTGTGCCACACAGGGGCAGCTGCTATTTGGGGGTGCTCTTCGAGTGTTTGAGACAAGATACGATACAAAACTCCGAATTGCCAGAGGCGATTAAGCAACCACCATATAATTGGAATAATTAGAACCTTGTGAATGCTTGGGAGCTTATTGACTCTCGCTCATGGTTAGAGATCTACCCAACCCACAGGTCCACAAAGACTGGCTGCTCTTACCCTGCAGGTTGAACCTAGGAATTAAGTGTTCAACTTTATTGTTGTCATTAAAGGCCTGTGACAAAGGTGCATCTATTGGAGCGACATCGTCTCAAGCTTACACATCTAACGGGTCTCCAATTGACTTCGTATTGTCTCGGAGGAAGTCCACCCACACCTCCACTTCCACAAACTGCTGAGAATTGCCTCGCTCTGCCTCACAGTCAGAATTCTCCTCCTGCTTCACGTTTCCTCCATTAATGTGTCGGTCCGACTTTGGAGTTGAATCATCTTCACATTTTACCTTCACTTCTTCGCTCTTCACCATCACTTGTTCATATTTCACCTTCACCTCTTTATATTTCACCTCGATACCTTTAAAAGTGTCCAAGCTTGGATTTTCTTCCGGTTCTTGTTTCATGAGGGATGGGCTCATTGCGCCACTTTGACTTCCACAAGCTGATTTCAGACTCCACTCCTTGTGGGTCTTCTGATGCTTGCGAGTTCTCTTGTGTTTTTGAAGATGTGGTGACTGTGCAAACGCCTTCCCACACACACTGCACTTGAAGGGTTTCTCTCCTGTGTGTGTTCTCTGGTGTTTTTTAAGAGTAGATGAATGTGCAAACGCCTTCCCACACACACTGCACTTGAAGGGTTTCTCTCCTGTGTGTGTACTCTGGTGTTTTATAAGAGTAGATGATCGTGCAAACGCCTTCCCACACACACTGCACTTGAAGGGTTTCTCTCCTGTGTGTGTTCTCTGGTGTTTTACAAGAGCAGATGAATCTGAAAACGCCTTCCCACACACACTGCACTTGAAGGGTTTCTCTCCCGTGTGAGTTCTCTGGTGTACTTGAAGATGTGATGAATGTGCAAACGCCTTCCCACACACACTGCACTTGAAGGGTTTCTCTCCCGTGTGTGTTCTCTGGTGTTCTACAAGAGTAGATGAACGTGCAAACGCCTTCCCACACACACTGCACTTGAGGGGTTTCTCTCCCGTGTGTGTTCTCTGGTGTGTTACAAGAGGAGATAAATCTGAAAACGCCTTCCCACACACACTGCACTTGAAGGGTTTCTCTCCTGTGTGAGTTCTCTGGTGTGTTACAAGAGTAGATGACTGTGTGAACGCCTTCCCACACACACTGCACTTGAAGGGTTTCTCTCCCATGTGTGTTCTCTGGTGTTCTACAAGAGTAGATGAACGTGCAAACGCCTTCCCACACACACTGCACTTGAAGGGTTTCTCTCCCGTGTGTGTTCTCTGGTGTGTTACAAGAGGAGATAAATCTGAAAACGCCTTCCCACACACACTGCACTTGAAGGGGTTCTCTCCTGTGTGAGTTCTCTGGTGTGTTACAAGAGTAGATGACTGTGTGAACGCCTTCCCACACACACTGCACTTGAAGGGTTTATTTCCCGTGTGTGTTCTCTGGTGTGCTACAAGAGCAGATGACGGTGAAAATGCCTTCCCGCACACACTGCACTTGAAGGGTTTCTCTCCTGTGTGAGTTATCTGGTGCCGTGTCAAATGTTCAGTACTATCCGTGCTGTTTGCACGCCGGTTGCATTGATGCCTTTTTGCACCGAGCTGCGCTGAGTGCCTTTGCTCCATCAGACAAATTCTGCAGAGGAAGCGACAGCTGCAGAGAGAAAAAAAAAGAATATCCACACCATCTACACGTCAGTATTGATGCACAGAGGAATGCATATACACAGTCAAAGGTGACTTACATGTCTATACTTATTCATATATTTATGATATAGTGAAAAAGTGTCCCAAATTCATCACACGGGCTGTTATGGCACACAACGAGAGGGCGAATGTCATAAACATGCCTGGAAGCCCTCGTATCTTCAAAATGAATGTTAACCCAAAACTCCGAGCACACAATTTCGGCTATCTGGCTTCAAAAGGAATATTTATGAAAGCTAAATTCAGCTGACATACCAAAGGGTGTTGAAAATAATACTGTTTGTGTTATGCAGAAATGCATAAATTAATGTTCAATCGCAACTTAGAGGTGTGAAGCCAGGCACAGATGTCCTTGAATGCTGGGATGAACAGTTCTGACTTCAACTGCACATGTGCTGTGATAACTTCCTGACTCCATTTTTACAAAAAGTTCCAGAGGAAATAAAAAATAAACTGTTTTGATATAACCTCCGTGCTCAATAGAGTGAATAGACTTTACTGCAAAATACAAACTTGACCCTGTCACACACTCAGAGGTGGAGCCAGGATTTTCAGGAAGATGGGGCAACCCCTTCAGCAATGAAAAATGATAGGAGTTGTTAGTAAGTAAGGAGTTGTTAGTAAGTAAGTTGTTAGTATGTAAGGAGTTGTTAGTAAGCGAGGAGTTGTTAGTAAGGAGTTGTTAGTAAGGAGTTGTAAGGAGTTGTTAGTTAGTAAGGACTTGTCCCTTGCTTTTTATTTGACGCGTATGATAGGCACCGCGCTCGCTGAAAGTGTTTGCCATCAGGGAAGTCGTGTACTGTATACACAACTGCGCACAATTCTGTGAGTCGCTTGTAACAGCTTTGCCGTGACTTATTGCCAATTTTGGACTCGGACTGTTGTCCTCTCATAGAGTCCCTGGCACGTAATAATATGCCAAACGGTGGCAGTGGGGGTCGCAAAATGCTGATTTATCTATATATATATATAAAAGGGAAATGTGTGGATATGTGTGTCTGTTCAAAAGTGTTTAGCATACTTCCCAACATGCTACACACTTGAAATTTGGCATGTGGGTAGGTTCCGTACTGTACACAATGAACAAAGTATAAAAATATAAGGAGGGAGGAAAGACGGACAGGGAGGCAGAGAGAGAGAGAGAGAGGGGGAGGTGCGGAGGGATGAACAGAAGCTTAAATAGGAAATACGGTTGGAGGGGGAGAGGGGCCAGAGCGAGAGCGGCAGATAAAAAACGCACATCTTACACATACAAAACGGCAGCTCAAAAAAGGACCACCTCTTGTAAATACAAAATGGCAGCTCAAAAAAGGACCACCTCTTGTAAATCCAAAACGGCAGCTCAAAAAAGGGCACATCTTACACATAAGTACAACGGTAACTTCCCCGTAGAAGTGTGATAATAAAGTATTAAAGCTTTCGTGACTGCATAAAATGACTCATTGGTTTTTTCGGTAAAGTCACGTATGTAGAAATACAATAAAATTATATTAAAACAAAAAAACAATCACGGCGTTTCGATCACAACGCAAGCGATCTTCATCAGGTGTCAAGAACAAATCACGGAGGTAAATACAACAAAAAGATGAGAGACGAGAATTCAACAAACCTGAAAAACATTATGTGAAGCACATCCAGTCAGGCCAACAACACAGTTAGACACTTCCTGGCGGACCACGAATTTCAGGAGAGTGTTAAATTTCGTATTCAACCTTTGGATTGCACATACCAGCATAGATAGAATGAAAAATACGAGGTTCTACATACGTGACTTTACAAAAAAAAACAATGAGTAATTTTATGCGGTCACGAAAGCTTTAATACTTTATTATCACACTTCTACGGGGAAGTTACCGTTGTAATTACGTGTAAGATGTGCCCTTTTTTGAGCTGACATTTTGTATTTACAAGAGGTGGTCATTTTTTGAGCTGCCGTTTTGTATCTACAAGAGGTGGTCCTTTTTTGAGCTGCCGTTTTGTATGTGTAAGATGTGCGTGTTTGAGCTGCCGCTCTCGCTCTGGCCCCTCCCCCCCTCCAACCGTATTTCCTATTTAAGCTTCTGTTCATCCCTCCGCCCCCCCCCCCTCTCTCTCTGCCTCCCTGTCCGTCTTTCCTCCCCCCTTACCTCTTGGTGGACATGTATATGTATTTCTACTGACCTTGTACCTCGTATTTTTATTCTATCTATGCTGGTATTTGCAATCCAAAGGTTGAACACGAAATTTAACACTCTTCTGAAATTCGTGGTCCGCTAGGAAGTGTCTGTGTTGTTGGCATGACTGGATGTGCTTGACATGTTTTTTCAGGTTTGTTGAATTCTCGTCTCTCATCTTTTTGTTGTATTTACCTCCGTGATTTGTTCTTGACACCTGATGAAGATCGCTTGCATTGTGATCGAAGCGTCGTGATTGTTTTTTGTTTTTTTGTTTAAATATAATTTTATTGTATTTCTACATACGTGACTTTACCGAAAAAAATTGAGTAATTTTATGCAGTCACGAAAGCTTTAATACTTTATTATAAAAATATATTTTTGTATTTTGTATGACCATGAAGTTTGTTACGTCAACCCGCAACACACCTGAGTTAAGCGCTCTGCAATGCTTAGAGCTGTTCACAGCGTGCCGGGAGATTTTAGGTGGCGCGTCGCTCCTGGCCGATGAAGCCATTGGTTTCTCGGAGTTTCAATACATATCCGTGCGAAGAACGGGTAGAACGGCTATCTTAAATATGAAGCAGAAAATTACATCTGTTTGTTTGTGTGAAGCAGAAAAACCTCTCCAACGCTGAGCTTTGGCGTCATGAAATTTTCACAGCTTATGCTGTTTGGAATTTCTAAGTGAACGCGACTATTTTCAGCTCGCCACGTCATTCATTCCAGAGTGGCGAAAATCGACCTTGCGTAGAAGTGGATTAAGGTTAAATTTCCTTGAGTGAAAACAACCGATTTAGGTAACTTGATTTGTTTTGGCTTTTTACCTTCTTGCAAGCATCAACATTTAAGGGTTTTTCAGTGAAATATAAGGTAATATGAAATATATCCAAGACAAGAATCCAAGTTCCGGGCGAAGCCGGGTAGTGAAGCTAGTTACTAATAAACCCCAATGATCCAATCAAAATTAGGGATTTCGATCGGACTGTTGGGGGGGGCACGTGCCACCCCACCCCCACTGGCTCCACCACTGTCACGGACTGGCATGCTACACAGGTGATGGTGTGTCCAGACCCACGCCTGGCCACGTTCACCTTCTCAGAATTAATGCTTCCTCACTCCACCAAGCAAATTCATTGAGGATCAATCAACACAGCCGAAGTTGTGTGTCTCTATCTCTCTTCCCGTGGTTGCGTGGATTTCCTTCCCGATACCCGGGGTTCCCCTCCACATGTAGAGTGTGAACACCACCACGCGTCTAGAGTGAACACCGCCACACGTCTAGAGTGAACACCGCCACGCGTCTAGGGTGAACACCGCCACGCGTCTAGAGTGAACACCGCCACGCGTCTAGAGTGAACACCGCCACGCGTCTAGAGTGAACACCGCCACACGTCTAGAGTGAACACCGCCACACGTCTAGAGTGAACACCGCCACGCGTCTAGAGTGAACACCGCCACGCTGTTGACGAGCCTCACCTTGTGATGTCGGCAGGTCGCTTCTAAAAACAAAAGCAGCACAGCAGCTCAAGCGGGCCTGGCCTGGTAAAAAAAGAATGAAATAAAAACTGCGTGAATATTTAAAAGTAAAACAAAGTGACAAAGTGGCGAGCCGAGTGAAGACAAATTAAACTTAAGCGATAGAATTGAAGCAAACGCGATCAGGCGAGGGCAGGAGGCAAGGCCCCGGGTGGCTAGGCCCCGCGCTGTAAAGTTCCAACCTGGACATCGCTTCCATGCTCGCTGCTACTCAATTGGCATCCCTACGAGAGAGACAGCGAGGCTCTACCTCTGTAAACAACAACCACCACCACAACCACCACCATCACCACCACTACAACCACCACCAACACAACAACCACCACCAACACAACAACCACCACCACAACCACCACCACATCAACCACCACCACAACCACCACCACAACAACAACCACCACCACAACAACCACCACCACCACAACAACCACCACAGCAACCACAACCACCACAATAACTACAACAACCACCACCACAACCACCACCACATCAACCACCACCACAACCACCACCACAACAACAACCACCACCACAACAACCACCACCACCACAACAACCACCACAGCAACCACAACCACCACAATAACTACAACAACCACCACCACAACCACCACAACAACCACCATGACAACCACCACAACAACCACCACCACAACAACAACAAACACCACAACAACCATTACCACCATAACAACCACAACCACCACCACTACAACAAACACCACCACCACAACAACAACCACTAGCACAACAACCACTACCACAACAATCACCACCACAACTATCACCACAACAACCACCACCACCACAGCCACCACCACAACCACAACCCCCACAACCACAACCAACACCCCACAACCACTACCACAACAACCACTACCACAACAACCACTACCACAACAACCACCACCACAACCACAATCACCAGAACTACCACCACAACAACCACTACCACAACAATAACCACCACAACTATCACCACAACAACCACCACCACAGCCACCACCACAACCACAACCCCCACAATCACAACCACCACAACAACCACCACAGCCACCACCACAACCACAATCACCAGAACCACCACCACAACCACCACCAAAACCACAACAACCACAACAACAACCACCACCACAACAACCACCACAGCAACCACAACCACCACAATAACTACAACCACCACCACAACCACCACAACAACCACCATGACAACCACCACAACAACCACCACCACAACAACAACAAACACCACAACAACCATTACCACCATAACAACCACAACCACCACCACTACAACAAACACCACCACCACAACAACAACCACTAGCACAACAACCACTACCACAACAATCACCACCACAACTATCACCACAACAACCACTACCACAACAACCACTACCACAACAACCACCACCACAACCACAATCACCAGAACTACCACCACAACAACCACTACCACAACAATAACCACCACAACTATCACCACAACAACCACCACAGCCACCACCACATCCACAATCACCAGAACCACCACCACAACCACCACCAAAACCACAACAACCACCACAACCACCACCATAACCACCACAATAACCACAACAACCACCACCACAACAACCACCACCACAACCACCACAACAACAAACACCACAACAACCACAACAACCATCACCACAACCACCACAACCACCACCACTACAGCAAACACCACCACAACCATCACCACAACAACAACCATCAACACAACAACAACCACCACAACCACCACAACCACCACCACAACACCCACTACCACAACAACCACCACCACAACCACCACCACCACAACCACCACCACCACCACAACAACCACCACCACAACCACCACAACAAACACCACAACAACCACCACAACCACAAACACCACCACAACCACCACTACAACAACCACCACAGCCACCACCACAACAACCACCACCACAACAACCACCACCACAACCACCACCACAACCACCACCACAACAACCACCACAACAACCACCACCACAACCACCACCACAACCACCACAACAAACACCACAACAACCACCACAACCACAAACACCACCACAACCACCACTACAACAACCACCACAGCCACCACCACAACAACCACCACCACAACAACCACCACCACAACCACCACCACAACCACCACCACAACAACCACCACAACAACCACCACCACAACCACCACCACAAACACCACAACAACCACTACCACAACAACCACCACCACAATCACCAGAACTACCACCACAACAACCACTACCACAACAATCACCACCACAACTATCACCACAACAACCACCACCACAACCACCACCAAAACCACCACCACCAAAACCACAACAACCACCACAACAACCACCACAACCACCACCATAACCACCACAATAACCACAACAACCACCACCACAACCACCAACACAACAACAAACACCACAACAACCACAACAACCACCACCACAACAACCACCACCACAACCACCACCACAACCACCACCACAACAACCACCACAACAACCACCACCACAACCACCACCACAACCACCACAACAACCACTACCACAACAACCACCACCACAATCACCAGAACTACCACCACAACAACCACTACCACAACAATCACCACCACAACTATCACCACAACAACCACCACCACAACCACCACCAAAACCACCACCACCAAAACCACAACAACCACCACAACAACCACCACAACCACCACCATAACCACCACAATAACCACAACAACCACCACCACAACCACCAACACAACAACAAACACCACAACAACCACAACAACCACCACCACAACAACCACCACCACAACCACCACCACAACCACCACCACAACAACCACCACAACAACCACCACCACAACCACCACCACAAACACCACAACAACCACTACCACAACAACCACCACCACAATCACCAGAACTACCACCACAACAACCACTACCACAACAATCACCACCACAACTATCACCACAACAACCACCACCACAACCACCACCAAAACCACCACCACCAAAACCACAACAACCACCACCACAACCACCACAACAAACACCACAACAACCACCACAACCACAAACACCACCACAACCACCACTACAACAACCACCACAGCCACCACCACAACAACCACCACCACAACAACCACCACCACAACCACCACCACAACCACCACCACAACAACCACCACAACAACCACCACCACAACCACCACCACAACCACCACAACAAACACCACAACAACCACCACAACCACAAACACCACCACAACCACCACTACAACAACCACCACAGCCACCACCACAACAACCACCACCACAACAACCACCACCACAACCACCACCACAACCACCACCACAACAACCACCACAACAACCACCACCACAACCACCACCACAAACACCACAACAACCACTACCACAACAACCACCACCACAATCACCAGAACTACCACCACAACAACCACTACCACAACAATCACCACCACAACTATCACCACAACAACCACCACCACAACCACCACCAAAACCACCACCACCAAAACCACAACAACCACCACAACAACCACCACAACCACCACCATAACCACCACAATAACCACAACAACCACCACCACAACCACCAACACAACAACAAACACCACAACAACCACAACAACCACCACCACAACAACCACCACCACAACCACCACCACAACCACCACCACAACAACCACCACAACAACCACCACCACAACCACCACCACAAACACCACAACAACCACTACCACAACAACCACCACCACAATCACCAGAACAACCACCACAACAACCACTACCACAACAATCACCACCACAACTATCACCACAACAACCACCACCACAACCACCACCAAAACCACCACCACCAAAACCACAACAACCACCACAACAACCACCACAACCACCACCATAACCACCACAATAACCACAACAACCACCACCACAACCACCAACACAACAACAAACACCACAACAACCACAACAACCACCACCACAACAACCACCACCACAACCACCACCACAACCACCACCACAACAACCACCACAACAACCACCACCACAACCACCACCACAAACACCACAACAACCACTACCACAACAACCACCACCACAATCACCAGAACTACCACCACAACAACCACTACCACAACAATCACCACCACAACTATCACCACAACAACCACCACCACAACCACCACCAAAACCACCACCACCAAAACCACAACAACCACCACAACAACCACCACAACCACCACCATAACCACCACAATAACCACAACAACCACCACCACAACCACCAACACAACAACAAACACCACAACAACCACAACAACCATCACCACAACCACCACAACCACCACCACTACAGCAAACACTACCACAACCACCACCACAACAACCACCACCACAACAACCACCACCACAACAAACACCACAACAAACACCACAACAACCACAACAACCACCACAACCACAAACACCACCAAAACCACCACTACAACAACCACCACAGCCACCACCACCACAACAACCACCACAACAACCACCACCACCACAACCACCACCACATTAACCACCACAACCACCAACACAACAACCACCACAACAACCACCACAACCACCACCACAACCACCACAATAACCACCACCACCACAACAAGTAAAACAAAGTGACAAAGTGGCGAGCCGAGTGAAGACAAATTAAACTTAAGCGAGAGAATTGAAGCAAACGCGATCAGGCGAGGGCAGGAGGCAAGGCCCCGGGTGGCTAGGCCCCGCGCTGTAAAGTTCCAACCTGGACATCGCTTCCATGCTCGCTGCTACTCAATTGACATCCCTACGAGAGAGAGCGAGGCTCTACATCAGTAAACAACCACCACCACAACCACCACCACAACAAGCACCACCAAAACAACAACCACCACCACATCAACCACCACCACAACCACCACAACAACCACCACAACAACCACCACCACAACAACCACCACCACAACAACCACCACAACAACCACCACCACAACAACAACCACCACAACAACCACCACAGCAACCACAACCACCACAATAACTACAACAACCACCACCACAACCACCACAACAACCACCATGACAACCACCACAACAACCACCACCACAACCACCAACACAACAACCACCACAACAACCACCACCACAACCACCACCACAACCACCACCACAACCACCACCCCCACAACCACCACAACAACCACTACCACAACAACCACTACCACAACAACCACCACCACAACCACAATCACCAGAACTACCACCACAACAACCACTACCACAACAATCACCACCACAACTATCACCACAACAACCACCACCACAGTCACCACCACAACCACAACCCCCACAATCACAACCACCACAACAACCACCACAGCCACCACCACAATCACCAGAACTACCACCAAAACAACCACCACCACAACCACCAACACAACAACAAACACCACAACAACCACAACAACCATCACCACAACCACCACAACCACCACCACTACAGCAAACACCACCACAACCACCACCACAACAACAAACACCACAACAACCACAACAACCACAAACACCACCAAAACCACCACTACAACAACCACCACAGCCACCACCACCACAACAACCACCACAACCACCAACACAACAACCACCACAACAACCACCACAACCACCACCACAACCACCACAAAAACCACAACAACTACCACAATAACCACGACCACAACAACCACCACAACAAGTAAAACAAAGTGACAAAGTGGCGAGCCGAGTGAAGACAAATTAAACTTAAGCGAGAGAATTGAAGCAAACGCGATCAGGCGAGGGCAGGAGGCAAGGCCCCGCGTGGCTAGGCCCCGCGCTGTAAATTTCCAACCTGGACATCGCTTCCATGCTCGCTGCTACTCAATTGACATCCCTACGAGAGAGAGCGAGGCTCTACCTCGGTAAACAACAACCACCACCACAATCACCACCACAACAACCACCACAACCACCACAACCGCGATGAGAATTTCTCACCTCGGATTTCAGTGCACGGCGGAGCAGCAGCTTCCTGTTACTTCGTGACGTCACGCAGCAGCAGGAGTTGACATGACGCCACTTGCGGGGTACAAAACACTCCCCTCCCACAATGAGCGGCTCTGTGGGCGTGGGTGCCGAACTCGTCGCAATAAACTCGCGACGGCTTTCATGAATATATTATGTTAATGAGCCGCCAGTCACCGGGAGTAGCTTTGCCCAAACAAGGATTCTAGTTGAACAGGTAAGGGAAGTGACCCAGGAAGAGGTGACGTCACGCTCAAGGGCGCAGTGGACCGGGTGGGATGAATACCTTTGTGACGTGACGTCACTAGCGAGGTACACCTCCCCCTGGCCTTTTACGCCGATGAGGTATATGCTGAGTGGTGACGTCACAGAGCGGGGTTGGAGTTTAAGTTGATTTAGATTCATTTTCCCTTGCTCCCTCCCTTGATCAGAGACCCCTTGGGTGTGTGAGCTCAGCAACAACTGTGTGTGTGTGTACACTGTGTGTGTGTACACACTGTGCGGGGCCCAGTCATCTAAGTCAGTCGACCAATGGCATTTTTTCATCAATTTATTATTTTCCAATTTTTTTTTCTATTTACGTAACTTTACCGAAAGAACCAAGAATACGGTAGCACATTCTCTATTCATTGCAGAGATTCAAGGTTCAACACCGACAGACACACCTGGCTACCCCAGTAACATTCACCAAAATATGCACAGTCTGCTTAACGGCAGCTATAAAACATAGCGTTGTATCATTCACAACGCGCAGGTCATTGCATATTTGTGTCACGGTCAAAATTGGGGTAATTCCAAACATTATCCAGAAACTACACAACGGAGATGGCGCTCCAATGATCGCCCCCTACCGACAGACTCATGTCCACGTGAAGGCCGGTGCAGGGCCACCTTGTGCCACACAGGGGCAGCTGCCACTTGGGGGGGGGGGTCCTTCGATTGTTTGAGATTAGATTCGATACGAAACACTGAGTTGCTGAGGCAATTAGACAAGCGACTTATGAGTGCAAATATGATGTTGGTAACGTAGTGAATGCTTGGGAGCTTCATCGTCTCTCGCTCCTGCTGACAGATGTACCCAGCCCACAGCTCCACAGATACAAGACGCTCCTCCTGTGCAGGTTCGGCTACGTACGGTGCAAAAGAAGTTCCAGATACACACAGAGACTCACAGAGACCCACAGATAGCATGGTTGGCTACGTATGGTGCAAAATAAGTTCAACGTACACACAGAGAGTCAGAGCAAGTTTGAGTTGCGTGTAGTCGTGGGCCATGAAAGTTGAATTGGCGCATGTTGCTACTGACAGTAGTTGAATACGGTTGGGAAGATGCTGATAGACACACACAGAGACTGACAAGAGAGAGGTGGACAGACACAAACAAGAGGAAGACAGAAAGAAAGATACAGAGACGACAGAGACACAGTCAGTGAGAGAGAGAGACACAGAGGGGAACAGAGACACAGATGGACAGAGATATGTTGAATCGAACAAACTGAACTTGCTCCACTGAAAGAGATTCCTCAATCTTTGCCCATCCCCGGAAGTCGTTCCAGTTTCTATTTATTTCATTGTATGTGGTGCGTACGTGTAAGCAATGTGGGATATCAATGTAGACAGATATGAACAAGATCAGCAGACAAGACGTCTTTCATACTCATTGGTTCTTTGAGTGAAGTCACGCAGGTAGAAAAAATAAAATAAATCACGACGCTTCTATCGCAACACGAGCGGTCGTCCTCAGGTGAAAACATCCAGACATTGTCGCGGCAGAAGTCACGTGAGCTACGGCACGTGACAAAGATAAGGTGACCCCCCACCCCCGTGGCTATCCCTGCTCAGCTGAGCATTGTTTTAATGCGGTGGGCTCACGCGAAATTAATTTCTGGAAGACGAAGGTACTTTCAAAACCCACTGGCTAAACTCTTTTATATAAGTGTTGTGTCCTTAACTAACGACACGTAGACGTCTGGTTGAGGCAACGCGTTTATTATAACTATTTTGAACTCTGCTCTACACACTACTGTACCACGAAGGAGTACAGCCCCTTCCACTTGATAGCCTACGCGAGTGACAGCCTCCCTTCTATCGCAGCCTGCACACTCCGGGCTCTGCTACACACGGGTCCCCTAGCCCGGCGTTAAGGGAAGACTGGACGACCCGTCCCAGCCAGGGTACGGGAGCTCACCTCTGGTCCGCTACAACCCGGCTCTAACAAGAGCCTCGGTTGAGGGTCCCTGGGTGCTGGTCCAGTCTTCAGGTCTTCGGATGTCTTCAGGCTTGAGTTGGTGAACACTGCCCGGCCGGTCCAGGGGGCCGGGCTTTTAACCCCAGGTCGGGGTCACCCCTCCCCTCCTGAACCACCAACCCCCCCTCCCAGAACCTTCTGGAAGGTCTTATCTTAAGGGGCCTTAGAGACGGGTGGGGGGTCAGGGATGTTATTCTCGGGTCACGGGGGTGGGGGCGGGGGTTTACTTTGGTCGACCCGTACACACCTCACTCTCTCTCGGCTGCCCCCTGTTGACCCGTGAACGTGGTGGCAGGTCAGCTGACAGCGCCTTGTTATGGCGCTTACGCACAACTTCGTGACTAACGCTGCACGTTCCGTCGTTTTCATGCAGGGGGCGCTGCAAACCTACGCGTCCCCTGCATGAACGATGGAGGCGCAGGGACAGACGTTCGATCGCATTGGAATCAATTTGCGGACGGCGGTCTTCTCGCACGGCCAGCTCTGTGTCGCCTCATCTGGATCCCGCGATCCCAACCAGGTGAAAGTTCGCATCGAACCAAACCACCGGCAAAGCCATCTACTTAATGACGCGAGAAAATTCACACGAAATATCGTTTTCAATTAATAAGCTTTTAATGAAGAAATACAATTAACTAATTCAAAATAATACAATTCAAAGTTGTTTCATTTTAAAACTTCAAAACGGAGCATCGGGAGCTTGCGTGGAGGCGTCGTTCGTGTGCAATTTTTTTTCGTGACTTTCCTGGCCCCAGGCCGTAAATGGTTGTGAGGGGCACCGCAGGCGATCTGGCTTGCTTCAAGCCATGGTTGTGAACATCCAGACGTTAATCAGCAAGGACCATTTCTTGTCCTAATTCGAGAAAATCTACATCAACACGTAATACAAAATTATAATTCGTGTTGTAGAGAATGTATCTCCTCTACGTGTAACTTTTGAGTGGTATGCCTTGTAACTGATGAATGATCCGAGTGTGCTCCCTATTTCAAAGACAATGAGTTGCTCCAGAGGGAGAAGCTTCCTGAAACATAAAATACCCTTTGACCTGTATCACAAGAACAATGAGTCTCACCTGACTTATCTATACAGGTTACTTCCAAAACATACACTTTGTCCTAACATCACTTATTCAATGTTTGACCCTTTTACACAAAATGTTACATGTACGTACACAATCAGACAAGTATTTATTCTTAATTATTGACAGGCATCTGAACAAAATTGAATTACAGGTGCACCCCAAGCCTGTTCCCACCCCCCCCCCCCCCCCCCCCCCGCTTCTGTGTATATGCAAGATGTGCTGTTTTGAGCTGCCGCAAGATGAGCTGCCACTCTCCTTTTGCTCCCCCCCCCCCCAACCTTATTTCCTATTTAAGCTTCTGTTCACCTCTCTCTCTCTTTGCCTCTCCGTCTTTCCTACTGACTATGTACCTCGTATTTTCACTCTGTCTATGCTGGTTTGTGCAATCCAGAAGTTGAACACGAAATTTAACACTCTTCTGAAATTCGTGGTCCGCCAGGAAGTGTCTGTGTTGTTGGCCTGACTGGTTGTGCTTCACATGTTTTTTAGGTCTGTTAAATTCTCGTCTCTCATCTTTTTTACATCCATGATTTGTTCTTGCCATGATTTGTCCTTGACACCTGGTGAAGATCGCTTGTGTTGTGATCTAAACGTCGTGATATGTTTTGTATTTAATATAATTTTATTGTATTTCTACATACGTGACTTTACCGAAAAAAACAATGAGTAAGGTTACATCGCATTAACAAGAAGATATTTTAAAAAAATATGCACCGTCTGCTTAACAGTGTATGTACAACGTGCTATTGCGCCAAAACGAGTTGGCCATTGCATGCTGGCGTCTGCGTCAAAATGTATCAAATTCTAAACATTACCTACAAACTACACAACCAAGATCCCACATCAACCATCACCCCCTACTGACAGGCTCTTGTACACATGCAGGCCGGTCCAGGGCCACCACCTTGTGCCACACAGGGGCAGCTGCTATTTGGGGGTGCTCTTCGAGTGTTTGAGACAAGATACGATACAAAACTCCGAATTGCCAGAGGCGATTAAGCAACCACCATATAATTGGAATAATTAGAACCTTGTGAATGCTTGGGAGCTTATTGACTCTCGCTCATGGTTAGAGATCTACCCAACCCACAGGTCCACAAAGACTGGCTGCTCTTTCCCTGCAGGTTGAACCTAGGAATTAAGTGTTCAACTTTATTGTCATTAAAGGCCTGTGACAAAGGTGCATCTATTGGAGCGACATCGTCTCAAGCTTACACATCTAACGGGTCTCCAATTGACTTCGTATTGTCTCGGAGGAAGTCCACCCACACCTCCACTTCCACAAACTGCTGAGAATTGCCTCGCTCTGCCTCACAGTCAGAATTCTCCTCCTGCTTCACGTTTCCTCCATTAATGTGTCGGTCCGACTTTGGAGTTGAATCATCTTCACATTTTACCTTCACTTCTTCGCTCTTCACCATCACTTGTTCATATTTCACCTTCACCTCTTTATATTTCACCTCGATACCTTTAAAAGTGTCCAAGCTTGGATTTTCTTCCGGTTCTTGTTTCATGAGGGATGGGCTCATTGCGCCACTTTGACTTCCACAAGCTGATTTCAGACTCCACTCCTTGTGGGTCTTCTGATGCTTGCGAGTTCTCTTGTGTTTTTGAAGATGTGGTGACTGTGCAAACGCCTTCCCACACACACTGCACTTGAAGGGTTTCTCTCCTGTGTGTGTTCTCTGGTGTTTTTTAAGAGTAGATGAATGTGCAAACGCCTTCCCACACACACTGCACTTGAAGGGTTTCTCTCCTGTGTGTGTACTCTGGTGTTTTATAAGAGTAGATGATCGTGCAAACGCCTTCCCACACACACTGCACTTGAAGGGTTTCTCTCCTGTGTGTGTTCTCTGGTGTTTTACAAGAGCAGATGAATCTGAAAACGCCTTCCCACACACACTGCACTTGAAGGGTTTCTCTCCCGTGTGAGTTCTCTGGTGTACTTGAAGATGTGATGAATGTGCAAACGCCTTCCCACACACACTGCACTTGAAGGGTTTCTCTCCCGTGTGTGTTCTCTGGTGTTCTACAAGAGTAGATGAACGTGCAAACGCCTTCCCACACACACTGCACTTGAAGGGTT